CTCTGGGATCTTTGCTGGTTGTTATTGCTCCCCATCTCTTCTATGTTCTGCCCCCACCCCCTTTTCCACTCTATATTGCAGCATGGGTGACTTTTGATTGACCCATCTTGATGTTCACAGATTCTTTACTCAATTGTGGAAAGTGGACCAATTAGTTCCTCAAAGCCATTCTTCATCTCAATTATGGGTTTTGGGTTATTTGACTTTTTTAATTTATAGCATTTCTTTTGCATCTTAGAGATCTCATCTCTGCACTAAGACTGGGCATCAAATCCTGCATGGTGCTTATCTTTTCTGCCCATCTATAATTATCAATCTCTTGTTTCTAATTCACTGCCCAGGGGCTGGAACAATGACTCAGTGGTTAAAAGCACTGGCTGCTCTTGCACAGGACCCAGGTTCATTGCCAACACCCAACTGGCAACTAACCACTGTTCATAACTCCAGTTCCAGGGTATCTGATGCCCTTTTCTGACCTCCATAGCCATTACATTGACACAGGTACACTTACATACATGCAGGCGAAACACTCAAACACAGAAAATAAAAATGAAATAAAATAATTAAATTCCCCAGATATAGCAATATTCACCTTTAATCCCAGCACTCGGGAGGCAGAGACAGGTAGATCTCTGAGAGATCAAGGCCAGCCTGGTCTACATAGCAAGTTCCATGCCAGCTGTGCCTATGGGAAAACCCTGTCTCAAAAAAAAAATTAAAATCACTGTCCAGGAGTTTCAACACCTGTGTTATGTCTGAGTTGGTACCTTCCACAGTTTCAGACCTCTACTGGGGATCATGGGATATGGATAAACAGTGGCCTTCCTTTGCTTTAACACTATGCAGTAATGTTAGAGGCAAGCCTACATGTGGTGATGTTGCATTTTTCTAGAGAATTGGCCTCTTTATCATTGTCTTTGGTATCATCATGATTTTTATGGCAAAAAAAAACACACACACACAGATAAGGCAAAAGATAGTGGGGTGGCATCTTTAAGGGGCTATAGAGAAAGCCACCAGTCTAGAATGCTCTACTGAGTAACGATGTCTCTGAAGCATGCACAGGACATAAAGGCCTCAGACAGAACTAAGTGGCATCGTTCCTGACACTTGCATAGAGTCTTGTTCTGTTAAGTGATTTGTGTCTTGTCAGTGCAGTAGGGTTTTCTTGTCTTTTCTTCCTCGTGGTGTTTTGTTAAAAGCCAGTCATTTTCAAGCCAGTAGATCAAGGTAAATCACTTTATTTCTGGAAATAGACACACCTTTCCTTTTGTTTGTTCTTCAGTGTGCATGTTGGAATCTGTTGTCAGGACAGAAAAGGGAAATCACTCCTTCCTGGGGGACAGAGACATAGTGCTTGAATAAGACACAGGTGTTTAATCACAATAACACAGAACACTGTCTTCAGTGCACGCATTGTTGGAGCCATGCACTCTGCAATTTAAGCTCTTGTTCATTAGTGGAGAGAGAATCAAAAGCTCTGTGGAAAGCAGTTTCATAGAAATTTTTCCCATCATGTGTCTGTGTTCATGTGTGTGCAGGTATGCATATGTACTCATATTTATGGAGGCCAAACGTCAATGTTGCGTATCTTCCTCAACTGATCTCCGTATTATTTATATTTATTTTATGTATATGAGTGTTTTGCCTGCGTGTAAGTGTACCCATGTGGTACAATGCCTGCAGAAGCTAGAAGAGGGCATTGGATCCCCTGGAATTTCAGATGGTCGTTAGTCACCATGTGGGTGCTGGAAACTGAAAGAGGTTCTCTGCCAAGAGCAGTCAGTGCACTTAACCACTGAGCCATCTCTCCAGTGCCAACCCTCTTATTATTTGAAACAGGGTCTCTCACTGAACTTGATGATTTGGGTAACTGGCTGGCCAGCAAGTTCCAGGGATCCTCCTGTCCCTGCTTCCCCAGAACCAGGATTATAGACATGTATTTCAGCACTTGGCTTTTATGTGGATGCTGGGCATTGAACTCAGGTTCTCATGCTGGTGCAGCAAGCACCTTACCAAGTGAGCCATCTCCTCGGCCCCTTGTTCATCCTTTTGTAAACACCAGACTAGGTCTTATGGACAGGAGCCTGTAAGTGCTCCCAAACTTCGTTTCTCTCTTCCCCTAGAGGACGGGCTGCATAATTCACTGGTTAACACTCTCTTCCTTCATAACACTTTAGCTAGATTCTTGTTACTGGGGCCTGAGTCAGGCCCATTTGATCATATGTCCATCACTCCTTGGAGGCACTTGTCTTTCCTTAGCTTTGTTGTGGTTAAAGACAAGCTGTGAAATTTGCTGTCTCACCTATCATTGTAACGATGCCACAACTTTGGACATCTCAAACAGAAGTACCCATTCTGTTTTGGAAAATGAGTATTCTGAGTATTCCTGGGCTAGTTTGAGATAGTGTCTGTAGGCTTACTGACTAAAAGATAAGAGCCCTTTCAGAGACAAAAAGAAAAAAAAGTCAGTCCTCTCAGGCCTATTTTTAAAGGATTTGCTATTCTGGACATTTGCCACCAGGTGGCGCCCTGCCATGTGGCCATGTGTCTTGTGGATAGGACCAGGTGTCCAATAGGGAATTTTCAGTGTGCATGGTGACCGGTAGAGACATACAGTACAGTTGAGGGCCTCTTCTGAGGCATCCCTGGCCTGTACCTTCCCTCAGCCCCCAAATAACTCACCCTCTGCAAAGATCAGCTATGAGCCACATGTCCCTAGCCCTTCTCTCAAGACCTACCCTTCACCCCACCAAGATCTGGGCTGAGAGACTGTCAGGATCTTTATAGGCAGCAGGCACTAACACCTTCAGGTGTATTCCAATCATCTTCTCAGCATGGACAGGCCCAGAGAACTTGTTCCAGACCATCTTCTGAGAATAAGCATTCCTAGGAGTCCCAAAACAGGAAGGTAAGATGATGGGGTGCCCTAATTTAGGTGATTCATCTGAAACAAACCAAAACCACAGTGGCTTACCACAGTGGAGGCTGAGTTCCCAAGCTAATAAAATCTGAAATAGGTTTTCTGATTGGCAGGCAGTTCTTTCCCCAAGTGGGGTTCCAGAGCCTACCCCTGCTCTTTTGTCGTTCTACCATCTTCCACAGGAGACATGGATGGAAGGGTGAGAGGCCCCCCCAATGCTGGTCACAGTCCTCAGGAAGTTCCATATTGCTTTACTCTCTGCCTAAGCATTCAGCTGGGCAAATGTTTCCCCCCAAATGCTGAGGATAGTGTTTCTCCAAACAGCTCTGCCCGAGGAAAGGGGTAGACATCCAAACCCCAAATGCCCAAACTGTACCCACAGGAACTGTTTCTGATAGGTCATTATTTATTTTCCAAAACTGCCTGAATTCAAGAGCCCAGGGAAGACACATTTACAACGTAGTCCTCCAACCTTACCCTGGACGGACTGTGTACAGAGCTCCAGGAGTCATGCTGCTCTAGTGAATCTGGGAAACAGTGTTGGTAAGGAAAGCCTCTGACACCCCCAGCCAGACCAGTGGGAAGCTAGGCTAAGCCCTCCCAGTTTGTGTGCTGACTCATGAGCAGGCTTCTGGGCATCACCTAGGGGAAAGCAGTGAGTGAGCCAGCCCAGCAGTCCACTCTGCAGATCAGCTCTGGAAAGGGAGGCCACATGGAAGCAGAAGCTGAGAGGCAAGCTTTGATGCCCTGCCTCCCAAACCAAATCCTGCACATGCAATGAAAACCCATGAGCCGGCCAGTGGTCTGCAGAACTGCCCTTCTTCTTCTGTTTAGGATGGAGATGGGAGGGATGAGGGACTGAGATTTGCCCTCATAATTCTCCTTAGCAACACTGGAGGGCAGCATTGAGTCAAGGGTCCAATTTCTTAGAAAAGCTGCTACTCAAAGCTCCTGAATTTTCTGTATTTATTTCCTTGTTGTTTGCCATGGCACCGTTGGCATGAATCATAGGCTGTGGCAAGTGAAGAAACAAAGCAGCTGCCAAAGGCCCTGGGCTGGGCTTCTCTGCTGTGGTGAGACTCCAAGGGGAGTGGGGTGCACTAAGTGGAGCCCTTCAAAGGAGGCTGGTGCTCCTGTGGAAGGTGGAATTGGGGAAGCCATCTCCCCACTTCTTCCTGTTAATTATCCCAAACACCACCCTTAGGAAGAGGAAGGTGTAACATTAGAGGTTCCCTTTGCTGGCTATGAGGGCTGCTCAGAAACTCTTAGCAGATCCCAATGCACCTATAGATGCCCCTTTCCACCAGCCCCTCTGATCTCTGGGCTGGTGTGCTTCAGTCAAGATGCTTTGTGATGAACCAGCCCCTCTGAGAAATGGCAGGCCAGCTGCTGCTCATTGCATCCCCGCCACGACCTCCACGGAAGGCTCCCCTCTCCGTGTGCCTTTTAAAGGGGCATCAGCAAAGCTGCCTCTTGCAGTTGCAAGCCTACCTTCCTGAATTCATCACCACCTAGCTTTGTGTTTGTAAACCTGCTTCTCTGTACCGCACAGGTGAACTCCCAGTGAGTAGGGTGAGGTGGTGCCTAGGCTCCCAGGTGCCGACAGGCTTGGTACTGTAGTTTAGCACAAACCTTCCCTGGCTCACACACTCTGCCCTTTCCTGGGGCGAAATGACGGAGGCGAGCAGGCTACCAGGAAGGTGTCCTCCCACAGTACACCTCGCAGGTCTGGTCCTTCCTGGGAAACAGCAGAAGTAGCCATGGCTTTTTCCGGTTCCGACGCGCAGCGGGGTTTGGGGGGAGGGGGCGGTGCCTGCCTTCCGAAGGACCCAAAATCCAGGTGATGCCTCCAACTGCTCTTCAACTTACATAATGAGAAATAGCTAACGCGATCGATTTCGAAACCTAGGGTCTTAACACTCCTGGCACCGATGTTCCGTGTCTAGCCTCTCCATTGGGTTCCCCTGTCGCCAGGACAGCTGGCCTTGGAATTCCCTTCCTGTTCACCCCCAGCCCTGTTGAGCCTCCCGGCGGGCGGGTAAACTGCCCCGCACTGTGGCTCTCTCTTCTATTCCAGCCGTGATCCCGCTGACAGATTCGGAACACAAGCTGCTGCCCCTACACTTTGCGGTGGACCCCGGAAAGGACTGGGAATGGGGGAAAGACGACAACGACAACGCCCGACTGGCTCAGTAAGCCCCCCCCCGCCGTCCGCCCCCCCCCACCCCAGCACCCCTGGGAGGGCGGTGGCCAGGCTCCCGCTGCGACAGCGGGCTGGCGGGCGGAGAGCAGAATGCGCGCGCAGGCGAGCGCGCTCCAGCCACCTCCCGCGCGTTTCACTCGGTGTTCTTTTGTCAGCCTCATCCTGTCCCTAGAAGCCAAGCTGAACCTTCTGCACAGCTACATGAATGTGACGTGGATCCGCATCCCTTCCGAGACCCGGGTGAGCCTCACATGCGCCGGGACCCAGCGACTGGCGGTGGCCGCACAGTGCCAGGCTACAGTGCATCCTCCCGAATGCCCCAGAATCCCACACAAACCCCGGCTACCCCAGCGGCATCCCAGCTGCGCTGTCCGGAAGCCCCGCCCCCTCGCCCCCCACGACAAAGCCAGACACCCTGGCTCCCAGTCCAAACACCTCCTGTTGGATCTGTGGTGTGTGTGCGCACGCATATGTGCATACACAGCGTGCGCTCCAGTTTAGGGAATGTGTGTGTGTGTGTGTGTGTGTGTGTGTGTGTGTCCCCTTATTTTGTACAGAAGGACAAGAATAAACACACCCACTCAGAAAACAAACCGTAGGCAAGTTACAACACAAAACTATCTCGCCCGAGATCGGAACACTATGTGCTGCTGCGGAGCGGAATTAATTATGTACTGTGTGTGGGTCTTTGGAAAAGCCGAGGGAACCGAGAGCACAAGTCCTCAGCGCGCCCTCCTCCCCTCCCACAGGCGGAGGTGGCCACTGATGGGTAGAGCTGGCAGAGGGCAGAGAGCCGCCCACCGGTCTGTCCCAGGAGGCCGCCTGCCCCTAGGGAGGCGCTGGGCTGCCCCCGCTTGCAGATACTGAGAGATTCGTTTTAAGTATCTGACTGATGTTTTGTAATCTCAGGAGGGAACTCCCAGGGAAGGGATTTGTGAAAATTGCTTGCAAATAATTGGTCCTCCCCAGACATCCGTTTACTTAAGCATCCAGTGGGGTTCATAAGTACTGAAAAGAGAGATGAAGAAAGCAAGCAGGGCCTTGCCTAGCTGATAGGCTCCTGCCCTCGGGGCACTGCTCTGAGAGCCCACTTCCGCTTCACCTGGCAGTCTGGGTACAGCTCCCCAGATGCTCTGACTCACCCTACTCCTGAGGGTACAAAGGACAACAGAGTTCAGCCTCTCCCAAGCCTGAGGAATGCCAGTGTGCCCAGGGCGATTTTCTCTAGCACCTACATGGGGTGCAATGGCAGCAGCCCCAGATCCTGAATCAGGACCCTCCAGCTGGGCACCTTTCTGTCCTGCATGGGCAGGGCCCTTGGCCAGGCATTGGTGGCCTGTCAAACTGCAGACACCCCACAGCCTGAGGCCACTGCAGCCTGTGCTCCTGGCTGTGCTCCCTTTCCTGTTCCTACCTTCCTGCTTCCACTCTTTAGTGCCTCTGGGAAACCAGAGACCTCACACTCGTTCCAACCCAAGTGGAAAGAGGAATTTCAGCCTGAGAGGTAGTGAGGCCAGTTTTGCCAGCCTTTGCTTCAGGTGACCTTGCCATAGGAGAGTCACCTCTCTTAGAACCTGCTTGAGGGGAGAACAAAAATTAAGTGAAGAGCAATAGGCCGTCTTCCAGGCTCCTCCTCAGAGGCCAGAAAAGCCTATTTAGGCTTAGACTAGTTCCTGTCCCACCCAGCTGCTGGTATGAGGGATGACTGGGAAGGTCCCTCCTTGGAGCTGCTGTAACAGCTGCCTATCCTCCACACCCTCTTCCCACAGCCTTCTCAAGCACCCCACCTGCCTGAGATAGGCCTGGTCACGGTCCACATGGGCCTTGCCCTCCTGGCTGGCCCTGAGTGGTGTCACCAGGGTTACACCAAGATGTTACTTCCTAGTGTCCTCCCACCAGGCCCCACACCCCCACTGGAGGCATTTTCTACTAATGGGAACAGGTTTTCTGCTGATCCAGACCTATTTCAACACCCTTCTCAGTTTAGCACTCCACACTTGCACTCTGAGAAAGGAACCCCTGAAGTTACTTGTCTTAGCTGAATAAAGGTGTTCATTCCAAGATCCAAAGAATGAGGTTCCAGGGCAGGGTTTCTAGCCCCTGCCTGGGGTGAGTACGTCAAACATCTGTGTGCAAGAGACATTGGCTCATCTAGGACCTGTGAAGCCAGTAACCAGACCAGGGAGGAAGGCCAGAGGCTGGACCAGGTAATTCTGTATAAAATGTGCTGAGGCTCTGGAACTCCAAGCTACTTAGGTTACACACACTCTACCTTCCACTTCTCCACTCAAGAGTTCTAGACGACCACATACATATCTGAGTTTGGAGAAAAAAGGAACGCAGCCTCCCTCCACAGATGGCACTGCAAGTAGAAGGTCCCTTTTAGTGCTTTCTGCCAACACCTGTAAGCCTGCCTTCTCACTATTTAAACATATCAGGGTTCCATGGGCTCCTAGCCTATAAACACCCCCATCCCATACCTCTTTTGTACTCCCCACCCCCAAGGCTGCAGCAGAGGCCCAACCTTGAAGCGCCAGTGTCCCAGCCTCTGCTGCATATAGACAGGGTTGATGTTCTTGGGCCCTACAAGGGGACAGTTATTCTGTGACCTTAACCTTCCTTTGTTTTCTGCCTTCCCTCTCTCCTTGCAGGCTCCCCTAGCACAGCCAGAATCGCCAACGGCCTCAGCAGGGGAGGATGTGCAGTCCCTGGCAGAATCGCTAGACTCCGACCGCGACTCTGTGTGCAGCAATTCCAACAGCAATAATGGCAAGAATGGTAAGGACAAGGAGAAGGAGAAGCAGCGCAAGGACAAAGACAAGACCCGTGCAGACTCCGTAGCCAACAAGCTGGGGAGCTTCAGCAAGACGCTGGGCATCAAGCTGAAGAAAAACATGGGTGGTCTTGGCGGCCTGGTGCACGGTAAGATGGGCCGCGCCAACTCCGCCAATGGCAAGAACGGCGACACGACGGAACGCGGCAAAAAGTCCAAATCGCGCAAGGGCAGCAAAGAGGAATCAGGTGCGTCTGCTAGCACCTCACCGTCGGAGAAAACCACGCCATCGCCCACGGACAAGGCGGCGGGCGAGTCGCCGGCGGAGAAGGGCAGCGGGCAGAGAAGCGACGCCTGGAAGTACAGCACCGATGTGAAGCTGAGCCTCAACATCCTGCGAGCCGCCATGCAAGGGGAGCGCAAGTTCATCTTCGCCGGCCTGCTGCTCACCAGCCACCGGCACCAGTTCCACGAGGAGATGATCGGCTACTACCTAACCAGCGCGCAGGAGCGCTTCAGCGCCGAGCAGGAACAGCGGCGCCGGGACGCCGCAGCCGCAGCCGCTGCCGCCACGGCCGCTGCCGCCACGGCCACCGCCAAGCGGCCGGCGCGCAGACCC